CTACAGAGTCAGAGAGATTCAGCTTATAAGTCATATATGTAATACTACTATATGGCTAGTGAGGCGTGGTTTGCGGTCGAAACACTACGGTGCCGCCAATGCTAATTCTGTCCTTATTTATGTTCAGTTTGTTGTAACGCGCAGGCGTCAATTTGTTGCGCGATAAGTGTTACATGTGATATATTGTAGGTTATTACAATCAGTTATAATTATTGTCAGGTCAGCCTTTCAATTAAAAAATGGATAATTTGAATAATTTGAATAATTTGAATAATCACTTTGGATAATCACAGAACACAACTTTGTAAATTAATTATAACGTTGTATTTAGATATTCGTTTATTTGCAGAAGCAAAGCAAATGTCAGAAAAGTCAGAATATTTACGGAGTAAATACACAAAATTGATTTTATTTAAGAATCAATAGCTCGTTATCTTATTAATTACTCACACAAAAAATTTAATGTTTTAGCCAGAGAATAGAGCAAAATGGTATTATGTATTTTTATGCTCTGAGAGAAACCGAATCCGACATTCAAATTACTTCACCATGTCTCAATTTGTTGTATGGAATTTGTATAGAAATAACTGCCGTTACAAATAAATTACATATAGTAAAATAGAAAAGTATTACTACGATATTTCGAAATAATGTTTAGTAATACTCTTAATATATTATTTCTCCATATTCACTTCGTTACGTTTTATTTATATCAATATATAACTTTATTACTTGAAAAGATTTTACAGAAAACAGTATTTTTATATATCCATTCTTCATACCATAATAAACTATTGCTAACATCTTGTTTTGTATTAAATACAAAGTAACTAATTTTGCTTAATAAAGCTGTTGAATTTAACGCCGCGCCTGCGCATTTGAACGATTTGAACATCTTTCCCAGACAACCAATAAACGGGCATCTACTATCCTTCTATGTTTCTTCTTGTCGCACTCATATAAACCACGCCTCACTAGCCATATAGTAGTATTACATATATATGTTATAAGTATTCGTGCAATCGTTTCTTTTGTTAGGTTTATATTGAGTCCCTGTGAGATTCCCATACAGTCATGTAGATCACAATCAAAATATTCTTCCGTTATTTGGTCGGGACGACAGACGATCAGAATTGGCCGAGTGTAGCGCGGGTTGGCAGGACTGGCGGTATACGTGTGGGGGTGTGTGGTGTGAGCGGCGGGAGGAGGAGGAGTGAAGCTCGAAAATGGACAGCGTGCGTGCACTTGTAAGATAAGGAAAAGTTATATAAGGATTTGAAGCGCGATAAAAAAGAGGTAACCTGCGATAAATCGGGGTCACGCATTCCTCTGATGATCAGTGAGTCAAGTAGCAATGAAAAACACGGTGACAAAGGCATAATGATTCGTGATCGTATCAGTTCAATTCAAGGTCAGGTTGAAAGTGAGAATAACGATACTAACGATAACGAAAACAGGGAGATGGAAGGTATAGAAGTGGCAATGCCATCTGGTTCAAGCGCTGGTGAGATGTCCACGTTACGAGATAAAGAAGAGAGGGACAATATCGAACATTCGGATAGAGAAGCATTTGTCATACGTGATGGTAAATTGATTAAGATGTCGGTAATGTCGCAACATGATTTTCAGGAGTTGAAGAAACACAGATATGTGGACGATCATGTAGGAAAAGCTAACCTAATTGTTAGACTTCCCCCAGAATTGACTACAATGAAAAAAGGTAAAAATGCTATTAAATCTAGATGATTTTGTTAGAGAAAAATATATTCCCTGTTATGTTGACGATGTTGAATCACTACTCTGCGGAAGTTGAATTCGCGAATGGTGGAGATGCAAATCTATGTTTGGATAAGTTGGCGAAAGAGGCTAATAAGTTGGTTGTTATGGTAGATCAACGGGTTATGTTTTCTAGAGGTGTTATATCGGATTGGCCTACATCGATTCCTGAATTATAGCAGGCGATAGTTAACAAAGAAAGTTATTAAATTAGAACGTATGTACAGAAGAAAATGGAACGAAAAATCTAAAAAGTCGTTAAATGTAAAGACAGATAATATTGTTATAATTATGAAAGGCGAGAATTTAAGTAGAGAGATTTGCATATTTGATAATAGAGTTAAGTTAAGAGTGCGGCCTTATATTCAATCAGTGAGGCAATGTTATAACTGCTATAAGTTTGGTCATATAAAACAATTTTACAAAAGTAACACAGTGTGTATCAATTGTGGAAGAGAGGCACATGGGCTGTGTGAAGTTGAAAGTTGTTGTTGTAACTGTGGTGGGGGACATCGGAGTCGACGTTTAGGCAATGTCCTGTGTTGGAGAAAAATAGAAATATTAATACCATTATGGCGTATCGCAATGTATCGTTTTATAAAGCTAGATTAATTTTAGAAGGACGAGAAGATGTTGGGGTCGCACCAGTGTATGATAGGTATGAAAGACCAGAGAGGTGGCCGTCTCTTTCGAGTGAAGCAGTCAGCGATAAACCTGATAAGTGTAATGAGGTTAGTAAGATTTATGGAAATTCAGAGTCTACCAATAGAGGGTATGTGAGTAATATGAGATCTCATGTTAAAACATTTGTTCAAACGAATAATAGAGACAGATTACCTAATAGAAAAAACAATGATAAGGGCTGTGACGTTAATAAATATTATTCACAATATAATGATCGCTCATGGGATATTAATAGAGAGAGGAGAGGTATAGTCTTGTGTAATAATTCCCAGGTGGAGGAGCAAATTACAGTAGGTAACGAGCAGGATATTAACAGATATAGTAAGAATTTTGATACAGATGAATCTTTCATTGAACGTATTGTGGAGAAGGTTATGGTGGCTTTGGAGTCCAGTACCAGAATGGGATTGCTGAACAGGGTAAAGAAGGAAATCGATTGGGACGATATCCAGGAAGTTTTTATGAGAAAGGAAATATAAGTAAAAATGAGCAGAATAAGCTACAGCAAGAAAGTTCCGCTTTACGTATTGTAAAGAGAACTTATTGGAGTAATTAGTGTATTGAGTATTATATATATCTCTCAATTGTTCTTTAATTATTTAAATTCAAGATCCTTTTGTGGAATTGCCGTGAATATAGAAATAAAAAACAGGAGCTTTCGAGAAACGTTGGCGGATATGATGTTGTTATACTCATGGAAACTAAATGCCCGCATAATAATGGAATCTATATTTCAGGATATAGAACGTACCAATTACTGAACCAGGGCCTTAGTGGAGGCCTTGCTATTGCAGTTCGGAAGGACATTGAGTTTAACATAATCTCCGGTTTCCGTGGCCTTGATGGTGGTTTTGACGTTCTTGGAATTAAAACCATTAACCTGAGTGTCAATTTTAATAAAAAAGAAATTGTATCCGTGTATCGTCGACCAGGAGACTCACACAGGGTCATTGACTTCAGACCCCTTTTTGATTTTGACCCAGGTGATTGTGAGTCTATTTTTTTGGGAGATTTTAATGCACATAATACTGTCTGGAATTGCGAATATACAAACACTATTGGAGAATCCTTACAAGAGGCTATGGATTGTAGGGATCTTATTTGTGTTAATATGGATACATGTTCCCATATGGGAACTATTGGAGAGAGAGATTCTAATTTGGACCTATTATTCTGCTCTGTTGCTGTTTTGGATACTATTGAGTATAACCAGTTGGAAGATTCATGGGACAGCGATCATTTTCCTATTGCTTTTACGTTTGAGACCCAACAAGTGAGATATAGTAAGCGAACTAACAGAATTACTACCAAAAATACAGATTGGATCAAATGCGGAATTGGTTGGATCTGAGTTTGAGAAATTCTCTGCGGAACTCTCTGATTTAAAGACAGGGGGTGATGTCTTGTCTGCACAGTATACTGGTTTTACCAATGTGCTAATCGATGCGACTCATGTGGCATCGGGGCGTCGCCCGGATCAATGGAATTGTGGAAAGCAGATTGGACGAGAGAAGTCTGGTAACCCTAATAGCTGGTGGGATAAAGATTGTGATAAAGTCATTAAGGACAGGAAGAAGGCTTTGAGTGATTTTAAAAGAGAAAAGTGTTTAAATAAATTGATTGAATATAAACGATGCAGAGCGGTGGCCAGGAAAACAATAAAATATAAGAAGAAAATGAATTTTGAAGCGTTCTGCAAAAGTATTAGTAGATTTTCTGGTATGCGGTATGTTTGGAATAAAATGAGAGTCTTAAAAAATGTTAGAAAGAGTATAGAGTGGAATAAGTGGCAGACTAAAAATAGAGAGGAGGATATAGTGAAGGAAATTTTCAAATTGTCTCCTAATGGAGCGTTATCTGAGTTGAAGTTGTTGCCATCTGGGGATGAGGAGTCCCCGTTGTGCTCTTTATTTTGCGTTGAGGAACTCGAGAGAGCACTGAATATGGTAAAACGAAATACGGCTCCGGGTATAGACGGTATTGAGTATAGAATGATCAAGGCCCTGCCTACAGAGACGAGGAGGTATCTATTGGATATTTTTAATGCTGTCTGGAGGACAAGTGAATTGTCTTATGAGTGGAGTCGATATCAGGTTATTTTTATCGATAAACCTGGGAAAGAAAAGGCGCGTCCGATTTCTTTGTCATCGTGTGTTGGTAAGGTTATGGAACGAATGGTGAATGAACGTCTGATTTGGTGGGCAGAACATGAGGATAGGCTTAGTTCAACGCAAAATGGATTTAGAAGAGGACGCTTATGCGCGGAAAATCTTGTGAAGATTACGTCTGACATCAAGATATCTATTTTATCTGGAGGATACACACTTGCGGCCGTTTTGGATGTGACATCTGCATATGACAATGTGGTGTACTCCACTATGGTTGATAGACTGGTGTCTATGGATTGCCCTGACAGTATTGTTAATTTTATTAGTAGATGGTTATATCAGAGGGTATGTTCCGAAATTAGCTGGAAGTACTGGCGCTGCTGTTACTGAATTAACTGACTTTTGCTGTTTCGAAATGTAAGATTTTACTGTCTAGTACTGAATTTTGGAACGGAAAAGCAATAAAAGAATGTTATTAATACTGCCATAAAAAAAATACTGCCATGTTTGTCTATCATTACCAGACGTATTATTATGATCTTTAATCTTCTTGTACATTCGTTTCAAGGCCGTTAATTTTGATGCACATTGTTTTGCAGAAAACGTATAGTCATTTTCAGCTAGTTGTCGAGATATTTTTTCAAAGACAGTCTTTTGTTTCAGTTTGCCACTTACAATTGCCGGTTCATAATCCGCATATAATTGTATAAACATTTCAGTACTGTTCTTGGCCCATAAACCTAAACAATAAAATTTTTGAATGGAACCATACAAAAAATAAAGTAATACAATTAAAAAGTATATACTACTTCATACCACTATCAAGATTCTCTTCCAAAATTGCTTCGGAACTTTCATTTTCTTTTGCTATATTGGAAGATACGCCGGCAACTTTTACATTTTTCAAAATTGTACGTGCGACTTCTGGTTCTGTTGAAATATTAAATTCATTAATATTTAAAATTAAGAGTAAATTGGAAGGCTCAACGATTTAAAATCAAATCAATAAATTAAAGGGCTACGAGGTAAAGCTGGGTTTCATTGTTTAATATTTCAAAATTTTTACCATCAACGCATTATAATAATAAATAATAATAATAATAATAGACGTTTTTGTGAAAATTATAATTGTTTGCATTTTTCAAAATTTAGAATGTGACCACTCATCGTCCCATTTCCATAATTTCGTTATTTGTCTTAGACCCGGTTGTTCCATCTTTTGGTAAATTTTACCTGTTGGGTAAGTAGCAAGATTACCCAATCATATGCGTTGATTGCCAGATTTACTTAACAAGTAAAATTTATCAAAAGGTGAAACAACTGGCTCTTAACATTGAGAATGATCCAATGTAGGATCGAAATGTCTATTATTATTAATATTCATTATTAATGTGTTGGTAAAAATTTGAAAATATTAAGCAATAAAACCCAGCTCTTTGGCTCGTAGCTCTTTAATTTATTAATTAATATTTAAGTTTATAATTAAATATATATATAAAGTGCACACATTTGAGGTTATGTTTATGTCAGTCAGCACAAAAATAGAAAATAATTTGTAAAAAACTTATTTATCTGACAAGAGTAATAAGAGTTTGATAATTCTTTGAGAATTTACTATTTAATAATTGTTCTTGAAGTTTTCAAAACAATTTTTAATTATCTTTGTTCCAACTAATTAATACATATTACCATTTATCGCCTTATTATAGTCTTCTTCTTCTAAAAGCACTGTGTATATACTATTATCGGTATCTACAATCTCGTATGACTTTAATTTTGAATCCATAATTCTTTTTTTCTTTCGTACTTCCAGTATTAAACTTATCACGATCAGACGATTTCACGCTCCGTGCTCTGTTACTGCTTTTACTGTATTTGCCTCACCTCTTGGGATGGAGTAGAAACAACCGGAAGTCAGCAATCCCCTAGGGTCAATTTATGCAGAATGAATAGTAACTTGCAGTAACTGACAGCATAAGAAATTCTATTTTGGAACGATAAAGCAGTGCTGTCAGTACTGTCACTTAATTTCGGAACATACCCAGAGAGAGGTACAGTTTATTGTTAGCAGCAGGGAGTCAGTCCGTTGATCGACTTGCCCGTAGGGGATTGCCTCAGGGAGCGGTGCTTAGTCTGTTGTTATATGCGCTCTACAGGGTGTTTCCAAATTAAATGGCAAAACTTCGGGAGCGTGTAGAGGAGTAAAAAACTAAGAAAAAAAGTCCTATAGACATATGCTCCTTTTTGCTTTGTTTCGCAGGAAATCACGAAAAAAGAAAAAAATATATTTAATTTATTATTTTAATTATTTTATTTATAAACTTTTTAATGAAGATTTTGTTCGAAATGTGCACCTCTTGCAGCAATACAAGCATTGCATCTGTCAAACACGGCTCTTGTAGCAGCCAGGCACTGTTCTTGCGATATTCTGTTCGCTGCAGCTACGATACGATTTCTCAAATGTTGCTCTGATTGAATAGGCGAAGAATAAACTTCTTGCTTCAGAGTACCCCATGCATAGAAATCTAATGGCGTTAAGTCGGGCGAACGAGTTGCCCAATGTACTGCTCCTCCACGTCCAATCCATCGTTGTGGGAATTTTCTATCTAACCAGGTTCTAGCGACTCTGCTGTAATGAGCAGGGCATCCATCTAATTGAAACCACATTTCAGTACGTTGTTGTAATGGGATGTTTTCTAAATAGTCAGAAAATTCATTCTCCAAGAAATTTAGAAAACGGTCCCCATTTAATCTTGCAGGTAAAAAAAACGGTCCCACTAAAACGTCGTTCCAAATTCCAAGCCAGACATTAACAGAAAACTCTTGCTGAAATTTGTATTCTCTAACAGACCTGGGATTTTGATGAGCCCATAATTCCTTTGATTAATTATTCCACCTCTGGTAAATGTTGCCTCATCTGACCACATTATTTTAGATGGAAATAAAATATCATTGTGGCATGTCTGAAGGTACCAGTTACAAAAGTTCAATCTGTTCCAATGATCTTGAGGTAATAAATTTTGCACTTTTTGAATGTGGTAGGGATAGCGATTATCTCCTTTTACAGTTCGCCAAATTGTTTGTGGTGACACTCCCAATACAGCCGACGCATTCCGAACGCTGGTCTCAGGATGATTGTCAAAATGTTGTAAAATACGATTCCCTGCCTGCAAATCTCTTCGTAACGCTGCTTGAAATCGGTTGTTTTCTTGTCGAATTGAAAATGTTCCAGTCTCTCGCAATCTATTAAATGTCAACATAAACACTCTTCGGTTTGGCACTCTTCTGTTTGGAAATCGTCGTGCATATTCTCGCACCGCCTTTAAAGCATTACCGTTGCAGAAACCGTATACAAAAACCATATCAGCATATTCACTATTAGAATACGTACGCGGCATATTGCAAAAGACAAAATTCATCTACTGTTAAAGGCTTTCAAAGAGCGACTGACAAATTCATAACAGAAAGTGGAAAATGTAATCAAATATGTCGGTGCTAGATATGGCAAGAAATGTAAACATTTTTTTTCGATTTCTCTGAAACGGAGCAAAAACGAGCATATGTCTATAGGACTTTTTTTCTTAGTTTTTTACTCCTCTACACGCTCCCGAAGTTTTGCCATTTAATTTGGAAACACCCTGTATACAGCAAATATTATGGATGGAGTTCCGGTGGGAGTTGAAATGGTCTAATTTGCTGATGACGTGGCGGTATATGTAAGTGGGGTTAATAGATAGAATAATAAGATACTTCTGCAGTAGGCTATTAACGTTATCATGAAAAATCTGGAAGATTTGGGTCTTTCTTTGGAACCGGATAAGACAACTTTGGTGGAATTCTCCAAATATGGCGGTTGGGATAGACAGCTTCATATAGAGATCTGTGGAGTGTCGGTTATGAATTGTAAGGGGGCTAGATTTTTAGGCGTTTGGTTGGATAGTAGTTTGAGCTTCCATAAACAAGTTAATGAAATTCGTGGTAGAGTGGATAAAGCTAATGCTATTTTAAAGTATCTTTCTAAAACCTCAAAAGGTGTGGAAGTAAACACGGGTCTTCTTCTATATAAAAGTTTGGTTCGTTCTGTTGTAGACTATGGTATTTTTGTTTATTACCCTAGAGAACGATCGATGCAATTAAAATTAGAGAGAACACAATTCAAGGGAATAAGAACTGTTCTTGGATATAGAAATAGTACTCTTAATAATGTTATGATTGCAGAGGCCAAAGTTATGCTGCTAAGAGATCGCGCTGATATGCTGGCCAGGAATTTTCTAAGTAAGGTTTTTGTTTACGGCGAGGAAGAGCTCAGGATTAAGTTTAATGATCTCAAGGCTGCTGAAAATTTCGTTAGATTCCGTCGACCACAACTGGTCAAGTGTGTTATTGTTAAAGCATGGGAGAGAATAAGTCAACTAAGATCGGTGATTGGTCCTCCTAAGAAATTTGAGATCTTTGACCGCCCATATGATGCACTTACTGAGAAGATAGAAATTGATTTATTGGTTGGAATGAGAAGAAAGTTGGAAGAGGAATTCTCTGATATGAAGATGATTCAGGTAATTACAGAACTTTATGAGCTTGAACGAGATTCAATGATTATATATACAGATGGCTCAAGAGGAGAACAATCTAGATCTACTGGAGCGAGTATTGTGTTTGAAAATAGTGATTATGGTTATAAAGTTAGTCTGAATAGACTTTGTTCGTCATATACTGCGGAGGTTTTTGCTATCAAGGCCGCATTAGAGATTATTTAAACCGAAACTCGGACCACTGTACGGATTTGATAATTTTTTCCGATTGTAAATCTGTTTTGGAGGCCATCAGGAATAATCATTTAAATGTCTATAAGAATTGTTATATTACGGAAATTAGAAGTTTGCATTATAGACTCAAGAGGCTGTATAATATTAAAATTGTTTTTGTGTGGGTGCCGTCGCATATCGGCATTACAGGTAATGAGGTGGCGGATGAGTTGACCAAAGAAGCCGCATCTGAAGAAGAGGATAAGAGTTTATATGTGACGGTACAAGATCTGAGGAGAGTATTTAAGACAGAAACATGGAACTATACACAAGAAACTATAACAAGAGAGGCATTGTATAAAGGAAAATTTTATTTTGAAAATTATTATAATAGTAGTAAAATGAAGCCATGGTTTTGTAAAATAGATGAAGAATGTTATTTTGTAACTTTTATAAATAGGATTAGATGAAATCACTATAATTTAGGTGTCTCTTTGTATAGGAAGAATTATGTTGATAATGAACGATATGAGTGTGGTTACGAAAGAGAGAGTTTGGACCATTTTATTTGGCATTGCAGTAGATATGATGAATTTAGAATTAGGTTAGATCAGGAATTGAGGTTAAGAAGAGTGTTTCACTACGTTGATGTTTTTGAGCTTCTTCTTCTTGAAATGAATGGCCTCGATCACATACAGCGACGATATGGCCAGTAACGAATATGGCCACCGTAAGATGGCGGCGA